ACCGTTTGGCACCAACAGGCTTTGATTCTTGTACGACCCTCACCCGCCAAGGCAGGTGCGCACTCTGCTAGTACTTGTGTGCTCACACCACTACACTGTGGGGGGTGCCCGAGCATGATGTATGTGCGCGTCTGTGCGTGTGTGGGACAGACGTTGTTGTCCGACGTAACAGCAGCAGCAGCAGGTATTCGTATTTCGTTATGCCGCTCTCGCTGACACCGGTGCGAGCCAACCTGGAGGCGCTTCCACACAAAACTCAAAAGCACAACTATTCGCAGACCTACGTCTGGGACGGCGCCGCTAGCGCTAGTCTATTCACAGGCCTTGATTGAGAAGAATCTTAAAATACGATTGGCCTCTCTCTCACAGCACGCTGGCACACGACAAAGACGCGGGCTGGCGCGGACTGGCACACACAATTTGAGAAGAAATATACATCGTATCGCGGCGCGCTAGTCTATGAGAGGCTCACAAAAAATTCACACACAAGCAAGAACATCCATCCCCGGCCGGGCCCCCCAAGGTCACGCAAGGGCCAGAGAGAGAGTCGACGACCGTCGCCTCGGACTGGCTCGCGAACGAGCTGGCCGAGCACGGAGAGATTGATGCGGCATGCCGCGACAAATATGTCATGCACCTGATGACGGCCGCCGGCGCCTCGGCGCCGGCCGACGCCGTGTTCAGGTTCACGGCTGGCGAGGCGATGCAGACCGAGGACGACGACGAGGACACCGACCGCTCCGAGGAGTATTCCGACGACAAGGCGTCCGACTAGCTGGCTTCACCCATATCTTACCCTCTGCCCCCCCCTCCTGCTACCCCCCAGGCTAGATGTAGTCACAGATAGCCCCACACAGCCCCTTACCCCTTCACCCTCGCCTCGCTGCTTGGTGTTTCTGAACACGTAGACGACCACGCTGTGGGGGTTGTGTTATAGGAGTAGGAGTGGGGTGCAGGTTGTGCTCACCCACGGCACCGGGCCGGTGCTTGCACTTTGAATGCCGTGGGGCTCCTGCCCGTGTCCGGGCGTGGAGATGCGAGGGTCGCCCCCCCTTGCCCCACCACTTTGTGTGTGTGGAGACGTTTACCTTACCTTACCTTACCTCTCCGCCCAGTCCGGGGGTGCGTCGAACCTTCCATCACCCTGTCGGAAGCGGCGTGCCGGTGGAGGCACGTCCGGGTTTTGGAAGTAAAGATATATTACTTTTTACAGATATCTCGTGGAGACGGTATAGAGACACGGACGGCGCGGTCCACGGCGCGCACCACGGGCGAGCGCGAACATGACTCTGTCGTGTGTCGCTCAAGCTCTCCCGAGACCCGCGCCCTCAGGACAGCCCCGGGCAAAGCCGCTCGCGCAGCCCCCCCCGCCCCGCCCCCCCCACAATAAGACCCGGAGACCAGCCCCACTATCGAAACCGCGAAGTCCGTCGCACGGCGGGAGAGCATCACGCGGCGCGCGCGCCGGCGCTCGCTCGCGCCGCGGTGTTTGCCAGCGAAGGCGAGGCACTGAGCGGCCACCGGCCGAGAGCGCCCGCGCGGGCCACTATGCATCCGCCGTTCCACGAAGCACGCGGGAGGGGGGAGGGGCAGAGCGAGGATGGAGCAAGGTTGCGAGTCTCTCT